AATGCGGTGGGACAGGTGGCGGGGTTAGAGCCATACTGTCAGCGGCTCTCTGTCCGGTGCTGCCCTTTGGTTGACAGGAGGAGAGCTAGAGCATCCCGCTCATTTCCTGGCAACCAATGATGTCTGTGAACAGGGAAGGAAGCCGTACAAAGCGGCAAAGGTTGCTAAGAGCTCTTATCAACCTGGGACGCTGTGGCCGCCCCTCTGCCACCTGCCCCACACATACCTGCCACCTCCCAATGAAATGCCAGCTGAGGCGACTGCCTCATTATAGGGATGGCCCTGTCCACACCTATAGTAAAGAACAGCTGGGCAGTTTGTGCTGTTATGAGGTTAAAGGGTAACCTCCCCCATCTAAAAACATATAATATATTGCACATGTTAGTCCGTACATGTGGTGGCTGCATCAGTTTTCATTTTTCAGGCTTTTCCATTTATTATGACCTGGTAATCACCTCCTGTCCAAGGGTGACAACGTTTACTCACTGTACTGTATATGGAGGAGCAGTGTCAGCCTAGTCTGCTCTCCTGGCATGGACTAAAAACACCTCCCCATTTCCTCATCTTTTTTACACAGTGGGGGTAGTTTAGTAGTTCACAGACGATAGCCGGGAAGGCTGATGACATTGATTGAGATTTCAGCTCAGTGTGCATCAGGTGACAAGGACACTCAAATTCTAGCAAGATCAAAAGGTCTTTCTATACTTGGAGAAAATGTTCTTAGTCTTAAAGGGTATCCATGGTCACTAACTAAAAATAAATCTGTATTTCTAGATTGAATTTCCATAAGTTCTGTCCCACTTCTAATAACCAGAATCCATCCATTACTTATAGAAGATGCCCATAGGATGGACTTCCTCAATGCACTGACACAATTTCACTCCGCCCTGTGAATATGGACTTCCTGGTGTCACCACTAAGCCTTCCGCTGGAACTTCTCACAAGGCAACATCATCATTGCTTGCTGGAAGCAATGCATGATGGGATTATGTAGCCTTGAGAAATGGAGATTGCATCACATCAAGCAGCAGGGAAAGAGATGCGAAGCACACTGGGAATCCAGGAAGTTGATGGAAGTGATGGGCAGACGGAAGGCAGCACTCACTACATAAAAGGGGATTTTTTCATGTTAGCTTTGATTGTATTATCAGAAACACCTCTACTATGTATTCCTATTACAATGCTGATAATATAACAGGAGAGTATATGCTGTAGATCTTACAACCCATTTAAAGCCTATCTCTGAGGGAAAACAAACTACAGTGGTACCTCGGTTCACGAACGCTTCTTTTCGCGAACAGGAAGTTCAGTAAAATGTTGCTTCTGTTTGCAAACTCTGCATCGGGTGACGAACACAACCGCAGCCATCTTCCCCGCTCTGACACATGCTCATGGCTTCCTGTAGTCGAGATTGCGGTCTGATCACAGTTTGATTCGGTTCGCAACCAATTCAGTTCACGACCAGAATCGTGGAACGCATTAAGTTCGTGAACCGAGGTACCGCTGTACCTTTGCTGTGTGGCTCTCACGCATTTCAAGGGTTAATTACTCATTTATGTCTTGGGGTATTGTAAGAAGGACTTCTACTTACCTGATCCCTGCTCCCCCAGTGGTCAACGCCCACCTCTCCGGCTCATGGACAGTCCCTCACCATCCTCCAAACAAGTGTTGATCTCTCCATGTGAGCTTTTGGCCCCTTTAAGTAACACTTGGTGAGCAGTCATTGGCACGTATTTCTGTGCCACGCTAACAATATGAAACAAACGTTCCTCATGAACATAAAATGCAGATTTACTTTTAACAGCTAGGTGAACCGATGTTCGTTTTTAAGCGCGGTCGGATTATTCTTTGATAGCCAACATAAACATACACTTGAACAAAATAACAAAGTCCTTTGAAGTGAGCAATTAAAAGAAGCCTTTGTAGGGAACATTTACACTCCTCTCAGATAAAGAGCGTCAGGCTGCTGTATTTAAAATGGCCTGAAAATCAAACCCGGTTTCTTGCACTGATAAGAAGATGGGGCAGTGCTGCTGATGAGAATTAGGCCAGGAGGCATTATTAGCGGGAGCAATGGAAATAGATAACCAGCTGCACTCCTTACCGGATCAAAGGTAAACCTGCAGAAGCAGGTAGGTGCTTGTAGCGACCGCGGACGGCACCGTGTACAACACAAGAGTAGCAAAAAATGTCACCAGCACACCAATAAGTAATTCAGCAAAAGTCCATTTAATGACACATTGCCATTCAGTTACAAGCACTTTCAGGGCCTCAAGGGTACCCCTTCTTCAGGCTCAGAATGACTAAGCCTGATGAAGGGGTACCCTTGAGGCCCGAAAGCGCTTATAACTGAATGGCAATGTGTAATTAAATGAATTTTTGCTATTATTATTAGCGGGAGGTCACATGATGTTGGGTCACCCAGGTTAAATCAGAGGACTGGAAGGTACGCCTCGATGAGTCTATTATATCTCGGACGATTAGACGGAGATAGGAAAGAAAGGATTGTGTCACATTAAAACAAGAAAGACTGCTGACCTATACAAATGAAATCATAAATACAAGCCAAAGGATTCTGTCAGATCTTCATAGCAGAAAAGAAGGGAGGCCATAAACGGCAGTCACGATAATTAGAAGATAAGCAGGGAGGGCTGAGCTCGTCACCGGTAATCCTTCCTTACAGTAGAAATTGTCGAGTGATAAGATGAAACAAACTCGTAACGTTACAATGATGACAACCGGTTTCTTCCGTGTACACATAAAATTCTGTCGGCTTCCATACTGGAATATTTATAGTCAAAGCCCAACGCAATGAATTTGCAAAGATCTTTGAAAATTAAAAAAAAAGGGGTACTCGAAATTGCAGCATTATCTCACATATGTTCTCTTCCTGAATTATTACGTAATAAAGCGACCTGGTAAGTAATCAACAAACCCGTCACAAGAGAAATACCGAGGCTGCCATTGCTGACCTCCTTTGGAAAATGCTAGTCGCTTGTCTATCTGAAACCTTGGTTCGCAACTGGTGGGTCGTGACCCAAAAGTGGGTCCCGAGCCTGTGTCCAGTGGGTCGCCACATGCCTTTCACTTTTCTAGGTGAAGGGCTCCTCTGCCTCCCCCTAGCGCAGCACTGTCAGTTCTCATGCCAAGCAGCCATTCAAAATATGCTGCCTGGCGCAGAGTGTCAGCTTGAGGTGGGGTGGGCTGGGGGTATGGCCGCGAGGGAGCTCCATCCATACCTGCATTGCTTACAGCTCCCTCACGTGTCCTATAGAGGTGCCTGGACGGAAGTGACATCACATTCTGGATCCTGGCACCTCTACAGGGCGCACAAGGGAGTTGTACAAACAAGGTACACATGGATGGAGCTCCGTCACAGCACAGCAGCCCACGCTGGACCCCAGGCTGAGGATCCATTCCATTTCTTGTCCTGGGTGGACCTTAAAAAAAAAATAAAAGTGTGTGTGGGAATGTATCTGTGGTTGTGTGTGTCTGTCAGTGTTTTTGAGGGCGCGTTCACACTAGTACAGTGTGTTAATAGCATAGTACCGTGTGATTGATGCACTATACCACGCAATCACACCTACTGTGCATTTTGGTGTAGGAGGTGTGTTGCATTGGTATTCATTTCAATGTCACCCCAAACACACCTCCCACCCACAGTTCGTACGCCCGCACTGTAACACATGATACCCTAATGCCATGCAGACATTGCAGAATTGAGTCACGACTTAATGACCAAGGACGAATGTGGGTACTGAGGTTACACAGGTTGAGAACCACTGCTCTGGATGACCCTCTTGTGTCATTACTTTTCACTGGGAGTCAACATCCAGGAGCAAGTATGCAGATCAGGAAAGCCAGAAGACCTGATCTACATACTAGGCGCAGAAGGGATTTGGGGCACAAGGGGGGAACAGATTTGTACAGTGTGTGGCACAGTGTGAGTGTATAAGTGATTTGTAGTTAGTGTTGCATGTTAGGGATAACATTGGTCTGAATGAGTGGAAACTGCACTACACTATGGGGGTGATTTATAAACAAAGCAAACAGCTATGCAAACATGATTCACACTGCATTATGGCCACTAGATGTAGCCAAGGAGCATAGGAAATTCCTAC